AGTTAACAGCTGTATATATATATATATAACTTCCGGAGTTTCTGTGGTTTTTCTGTTTAAAACCCAAGTAAAATCAACTGCAATGACTTCTCCAAAGCTCAAGAGGAATCAGATCCAGCGACCTCTCTATAAAACTAAAGGGATCAGATCCAGTGACCTCTCTATTATAAAACCCAGGAGATCAGATCCAGTGACCTCTCTATTATAAAACTAAAGGGGATCAGATCCAGTGACCTTTCTATACAAACCTCAAGTTTGATCAGATCCAGTGACCTCTCTATTATAAAACTCAAGAGTGATGAGACCTAGTGATCTCTCTATATAAAACTCATGGATGATCAAATCCAGTGACCTCTCTATACAAAGCTCAAGAATGATTAGATCTAGTGACCGCTCTCTATAAAGCTCAAAGGGGATCAGATCCAGTGACCTCTCAAGAGTGATCAGATCTATATAAAACTCAAGGGCAGTCAGATCCAGTGACCTTTCTATATAAAGCTCAAGAGAGATCAGAACTAGTGACCTCTATATATAAAAGTCCAGGGGAATCAGATCTAGTGACCTCTCTATATACAACTCAGTGGTGATCAAATTTAGTGCAATGTCTCTATAAAACCCAAAGAAAATCAAATCCAACGACTTCTCTCTCTCTAAACCTCAAGGGGGGTCAGAGCTAGTGACCTCTCTATATAAAGCTAAAGGGGAATCAGACCTATTGAAATCTTTGTATAAAACTCGAGGGAGGATAAATTCCAGTAGTCCCTTCATATACAACTGAAAGGGAATCGGTAGTTCTTCAATAGTGACCTCTCGATATAAGACTTAGGGATAACCAGCTGTATTGAACTATCTGTATAAAACTGAAGGGAATCAGCTGTATTGAACTATCTGTATAAAACTCAAGGGAATCAGCTGTATTGAACTATCTGTATAAAACTCAAGGGGAATCAGCTGCATTGAACTATCTGTATAAAACTCAAGGGGAATCAGCTTCATTGAACTATCTGTATAAAACTGAAGGGAATCAGTTGTATTGAACTATCTGTATAAAACTGAAGGGAATCAGTTGTATTGAACTATCTGTATAAAACTGAAGGGAATCAGCTATTGTATTGAACTATCTGTATAAAACTCAAGGGGAATCAGCTGCATTGAACTATCTGTATAAAACTGAAGGGAATCAGCTGTATTGAACTATCTGTATAAAACTCAAGGGAATCAGTTGTATTGAACTATCTGT